ACTAAAATTTATACCAATGTAAAACATTTTAAACAAGTTGTTCTTTAAAAGTAGGTTCAAAAAATGAAATATGCATATATATTCACACATATTCAGGTACACAAATATATATATATATATATATATATATTATATGCACTCATATATAAGTATTTGAAAATACTTATGCAGAACACTAAAGAAATGAATACACATAGACTCATTTTTTCATATGTTTACTTTCAGAATTCTATAGAGCAAGAAAATCTACATTTTGTATTTAAGTGAAGAGAGCTACTTGGTAGGAAAAATAAGACCTTTAAATACATATGACATTTTAAAATAAAATTTCATGCTAGCAATATTTTCACACTTTAAGAGTTTAAAACTTTAAATGATGATATGAATGGATTACCTGGTGGCTAGTGGTTAAATCAAGACTCTTTCACAGATTACAATTTATAGCTGAGAGAAGAATGTAAAGTGAGAGTACTTTCAAGTTGCCATATGTTTTCAAAGGCTGTGGACCATAAAGTGAATGTTGCAGAAAATGAAGAAGGCATATGGAGGGAGACTGCTCTCACCTACCGACCTGTAAACGAAGATAATGGCAAATGCGGATGCATGGTTGTTAGTTCACATGAAAACACATCGAGTTTATGATTTTATGGAACATAAACCATGGTTTCCATTGTTGACCATGTAGGCTTCTCTGCAATTACAAGAATTTACTATTATTGGGTTGTAATTCTGGATTGGAATTTGGATAATCAAAATAGTTCTCAGATCACTCTCTCTTTCTCTAGAGGGTTATTATTAATAATTAAGCATCTTATTCCTAATTGTTGATTTTTACCTCACTATATTAATGTGTGAATTAAAATACTAGAATACAATGGTTTATGTTTTAGTTGAATATAGCAACAGGTAATTTTATTTGAAGAAAACAAGAACATACTAAAATGGTTCTATATCTCAGACTATAACCTCTAACTGAAGAATTACAGCTAAGTTGCAAATATTATTATTTTTTGTAGTTTCATATTTGCACACAAACATACTATTAATGACACAAAAAGATTTTCTAAAAAGTTAAACACACACACACATTTATATTTTTTTCTAATGAATTTTCTTTTTGGGTATGTATGTGAACATGTGTATTCTTATACATATTCATATATTAGTTCTGTTACTTATTCTTCTCTAGTTATATGTGAAATATAATTTGGGAATATTTAATTATGGCACTTTATAAATAAATATTTTGTTTTCATTTTTTATTTTTTAAAAAATATATATTTTATTTTATTTATATGAATGTTTTGCCTTCATGTGTACACATGTGTACCATATTCATGCTGAATGTCCAAAGAAATCAGAAAGGAAATATATCCATGGAATATGAGTTTGAGTTTTCAAGTTGCTGCTGGGAACTGAATCCAGGATACTACAATTGCAACAAGTGTTCTTAACTTCTGAGTCATCTTTCTGCCCATTCCCTATGATATTATTCATCCTCTTCCTTCAAATCCTCTCAGATCCCATATCTAGCTGACTCCCTCAGCCATCCACTTCAACACTAATATTGCAAGTGTTCCATTATCCTCTCCCTTTCACCACTTTAAGATCTTTAAAAACTTTTTCCTTTTCCCCCTTATATTGTTAAAACCTACAACCCCTAGGCCTGACATAAATCTAAATCTAGATGTTGCATTTGCACAGAAAAAGTGTAGTATTTGTCTTTAATGTAAGACTTCTTCTATATAACAATGACTTCTTGGTCTATAAATATCCCCTAAAAGTGTTCTGATTTTATATTATTTTACAGCTGAATGGAATCTAATTATTTATAGGTATTAAATTTTCTGTATTCCTTCATTTCAAATTGAAGATCTAGGACAGTTCTATTTCCCTTACTTAGCTGTTGTGGATACTATTGCGAGAAATATAGCTTTACATTATTTCTATGACACTGTACTTCTTGCATATACCCAGAAACAGTATTGCTAGCCTATAATGTAGTTCTATTTTTGTTTTGTTTTGTTAGTTTTTATTGTCCTCATTTCTTTGAGATCCCTTCATACTTCTTTTCATAGTGACCACATTGTTAATTATTTACTAGTTGTATGTTTGGGTTCTCCTTTATCATCATGATTTCTTCTTTCCATGATGACCAGTATTAATGGGTAGAGATGGAATCTCAAAATAATTTTAACTTTAATTTTCTCAATGATTAAAAATGTTGACTATTTTTCAAGACATTTCTTAATCATTAACATTCTTTTGAATACTAGATAGATAGATAGATAGATAGATAGATAGATAGATAGATATTTACACTTATTAACTTGTTTATTGAAGGATGATTTAGTTGCTATTGTTTATTTTCTGATCCATTAGGTCTTTTCAGCCACTGCTTTTAGGTATATTTGTTTGCCTGTTGGTAGCAAATTCAGATGCATTGTTACATTATTCATTTGTGGTCCCTAATATTTTAAGGTGTTTATAAGTTACTTTCCTTATTGAAGTGACTTGACTGTATCTCAGAGCTATTGCCACATTTTTATATTTTCCCTGTTTCTGAGAGTTTTAGCTTATTCCTTGAGTTTTTTTTTAAAGAACCAGTGATCAGTCAAGTAAAGATTAGACTGGCCTCAACCTTACAATCCTCCTTCAGCCTCCCAAGAGTTGAAATTTTAAGTAAGCCCTGCCATGTCCGGTGTGATTTTAATCAATTCTGATAATGTCCCCCTGTGTCTCTGAACAATAGTCTTTAACGAATACCTCATTAGGCATCTAATGGTTTGTTCTCTTCTGCCTGTAACCTCTCAAAAAGAGCTTCTCTTAGTTGGTCTGATTTCATCCCACACTGGGAAAGATGAAGAATAAATGACATGTATCAAGGAGTTGGTGCAAATGAATCTTTATTGCTACATTTCAGTAGCTAAGGGTTGCAGAAGGAGTCGTATTAGATGAAACATCTATGAAGTTCAGTCTGTTAGCTCTGTGAGTAATATTTTAACATTTCAAAAGTCTTACCCCACACCACAGAAGAAGAGGCAGAAAGAGTATAAGAGCCCGACAGGACAGAGGACATCAGGAGAAGGCAGCCCTCTGAGTCAATTGAGCAAGGCTAATATGAACTTACAGAGTCTGAAGCAGAAAGTACAGAGTCAATAAGTATCTGCAACAGGTGTGTATTATGGCTTTCAGCTTAGTATTTGTATAGGTCTTCTGAGTGTGTGAACTAGTGGGTCTCTGATTGTTGTGCCACTCTTGGTGCTCATTTCCTTCTGTTGAGTTACTCTGTCCAGTATCAATTGATTGTTCTTTTACCTTTGTCTTATTATATTTTATATTGTCATGTTTGGTTTTGTCTCTTAGAAACTTGTCTTTTGCTAATGAAAGACAGACAGGGAATGTATCCTAAGGGGATGAGTGAGAAAGAATAGGAAGAAGTAAAAAAAGAGAGGAAAAACTATAATCAGGATATATAATATGAAGAAAGAATTTATTTTTGATAATAAAACATGTGTCAATGTAGATGTATCCAACCGTTTTATTAAAATAAGAAACACAGAACGAATGTAAAAGAGAAAGCCAAGAGGTCAGAGCTCAGAGATAAAATCTTACCTCCTGCAGTGCTCTTAGCTTATTTTACCTTCTAGGCATTCTCTTACTGGAATATTAATGCAGAGGGAAGATATTATATTGGAATGGATATTTTTTTACCAAATAAACCAAATAAAAAATTAAAAACTTATGTGGAAAAAATCTCTGACTTGATTTGGAAAGGAAAATTGAGACTTCGTCATTTAGCAGGAATAGACCCAGCAGAAATTGTC